GCCTGCAGAGTCGCCGAGTCGCCATGTGCTACACGCAGAGTTGCTGCCCTGCGTGCCCGGAATTTTTCGCTCCCACTTCGCAAGTCCCTGTGTGCCGTGACGCAGCCGAATTCATCCTTCATCCTTCATCCGGCAAGGCCCTTCCTTGCTTTGAGTCGAGGCCGCCGGGAAGGACTAAACATAGGTTCAGGCAGTCGTGCCTGGCACCTCGGGGCTGTCATGGGGCCACGAGGCCACTAGTCCATGAACGCTCTCCGCGACCACGTTCTCGGCCGGAGCTCTGCCGCTCCCCGCCGTTGCCCTACCCTGAAGTCTGTCGGGCTCCGGCCTTCTCAGAGATTCAGGCATGTCCAATCACGCCAAGACAGCGCAATGCCCATGCCGCATGCCATGCAGGCAAGCTGCTTGGGCCCCAGCTCAGTTGGCCGGAAGCAAAATCACTGCACCCCTGGGAAGAGGATCTGGTGCTTGCACGCCCTTGCCGACGTGGATCTTTTGCCTACAAGAAACCGGAATGAAGCTGCATAAGACTAGTAAGGCGGGAAGAGGTCCGCACCATTTCAGCATCTCGGCCCGCTTCTTTTCCGGGACCGGTCCGTCCACTCGGCCGTGCGTCCTCCAAACCTCCGACAGCAGGAGGATTGAAAAGTGGCAATAGCATACAGAACTCAGAAGGACATGTGAACGAACGGTTCAGTGCACGAAGCGCACCTTTAGATGTTGCTGACAGAAGTCGCCTCCAAAGCAACACATGCATGCAAAGGCTTTTCGCCTGCAGCTTCCGAGCTGCAAACTGTTGTAACGCTAATTCCGCGGTGCAAGCTTTGTAGAAATGCCCATCGTCTAGGCATGCATGTCTGGGCCGATGGCCACCGTCGACGTGCTTGGGGTTGGCGCCTGACACGTCTCCGACCCACTCCAAACGAAAAATCTTCGTTGGCATATGGAGAAAACTAAGGCATTGGCAGTCGCCGCCCCAGCCTCGCTCCGAGAAGTGCAGCATTGAACAAGATGCCGGCTCATGACCAAAGGCGCTGACCCTTGTTCCAGGTGCGGGCCTCGCAAATGCCGAAATGGGAGTCTTGATGCATCAAAGAGACACCAAGCACCGCGGCCATGCAAGGGCCCAATTCTTCCTTCTCTCGGCGCCTCTCCTCACGGACTAAAGCCTGCAAGCTCCAGGTTCCAAAGCGAAGCTGCTCTTGTGTGCTCTGCGAATCCTTCAGCAGACTGCCTTCTGCTCGATCTCAAACTCATCCCGGCATCGCTTTCGCTCTTCGTTCTTTGCACTGAGAGCATCCTCAAAGACTCGACCTATGCTGTCTGCAGAATGCCAATCGTTCCTGCCAATCCCGTCTCCTGTAGTCTCATGCTCGACCACTTGAAAGTGAAGCCGGCACTGCACATGGCACTCCGAACACCTTGCGAAGCCTCGCATGGGCCCACAGCCAATGTCGTGTCTGAACACATGTCACCACAGCAAGAAGCTTGGCTCGCCGCTTGCTGGAAACGATCACATGTGTAAAAGACTAAGCTGTACCGGGTTCCCTCAAAGGGCCTCCCACGAACCGGTACACCCGCACGATTCGGACTCCTGTGTACACCAATCAGCCGCACCTTGCACAATGTAAGCGATTGCCATCGAAGCTTTGCCAGCGACAATTGATGTCGAAGGTGCGGCCCCTGGCAGCTGCGCATCTGATGAATGTGACGGACACAGCACCGGGGCTCAGCCTGGGGATGAAGGAAAACGAGCGAGAGCGAGAGACAGAGAGAGAGAGAGAGAGGCAGCCAGCGAGCCAGCCAGCCAGCCAGGCAGACAGACAGACAGAAGGGAAGATGTAAGATGGGAGAGGGTAGAGGGGACGGGAGAGGGGAGGAGGGAGGAGCAGGAGAGGAGGAGAGGAGGAGAGGAGGAGAGGAGGAGGAGGAGGAGGAGGGGAGGGAGCGAGAGCAGCTTGGCTCTGCCCTCGCGCAACAAACGGGCGAGTCGATCGTGCCGCAAGCCTGTAGGTGACTCCTGCTCGGTAGTGAAGCATGCTTCCTCAGAGGTCAGCAAGTCCAACATGGCTCGTAGAGCTCGTGCTCGCGACCTTTTCCGGCCACCGTGCTTAGCGACTGGCGGATGCTCTCAGTGAGATCAACTGGGACGTCGCCCTCATCGTCGTGAGCCCAAAGCTCCCCACCCTGTTGGCATGACGAAGATGCCTCTGCGAGATCTGCCATCCCTGGCCTTGTAGTTGCCCAAACCAATTATGAAGCTGTTGCCAAGATTGTTCTTGTCCTCCGGAACCACGTGAGTCGGTACACAGGCGCTATCACAGCACCGCACGCTACAATCCAAAGCTGGGGAAACGACGACATGCGGCCTGGCGGCGTAGTTCTTGTTCACCTCAAGCGATTCTGCTTTGCCTAGCCTTGGCGGTGTTGCGATTCACGACTGCTGCGCCTGAATGGATGTGAACTCGAAGTCAGGGTGGGCAGCTCGACAGAAGGCTGACAGGAGACGCACCTGTGGACCAGAGTTGGCTCGGCTTCTGGTACACCTGCCTCAAGACTCTGCCCAGATCCGACTGGTTTCGCGGCAGCAGGATTCACGGCTGCAGTGACGATCTCCCGGCCCGTTCCACTCCCCACAACTGTCATGCCCGGGGGTCGAAGCTCAAAGCTCCAAGAACACAAGGCCAAACCCACTGCAAGTGGATGACAACGGCATGTTTTTCTGCGCATCCGCTCGCCAGTTCATCGGCCGCATCAACAGCTGAGAATGGGCGGGGAACATCCGGAAACATGCGAAGCTTTCTCCCGCAAAGTCGAGACATGACAAAGTCGCTCAATACCCCAACGAGCCAGCATCTTCAAGACTCGTGCTGGGTGCCACGCCAAGCTGGGATTCTTCTTGGATGCATCGCCTCGACATCATTGCTTCTACGCTTCACTACCAAAGGAAGGTCTGGCCATGTTCTGAGCCAAACACTGTAGCCGATGTTATAAGCGAATGCATAGAGTCCGAGAACCTTTGCATCCGTTGGTGAGCCAGCTGCCACCACGTAGGTGGAGCGCAGTTCAAGACACAGACCATGCCATGCACCGCTTCCACTCCATCCGGTAGAACATTCTTGCGAGTCTTGTTCATCGGAAAGTGGACAGCCTGAGGCACTCCGTTTGTGTCAGAACGTCCGAGTCCAGGAGTTCCTCCAAACCTCCAGAACTCGCACGATGGTCTCGAAGGAGAAGTCTTTGCTTCTCAAGGCATCTCTTGCCAGGGCCTACGACAGACACTTCCACTGATTCCACTGAGAGATCTGCAAGGTTTTTGGCTGCCGGCCTCTGACTTCTGCCGCTGCTTGCGAGCCTCCCAAAGGACTCTGAAGGCCCTCTAAGCGAGCTTCGCAAAGCTGCGAAGAACGCTCCAACCGGCCTTGGCTCTTGGAAGCCGTAGCTTGAGACGACCTGGACCTAGGCGAAGCTGAAATAGTCGGAGGGCGCGACGCAACGGCAGCGCTAAGTCACGGCTGGGGTGGAGGCCAAGACCATGGCCAGAAAGAGACCCGCTCCTCGGGCGGAAGAGCAGATCGCGAAGCGCTCAACTGGCAGCGCTCAAAGCAGCGGAACTCCGCTCACGGGGCTCCAACAGTCTTCGTCTCGGTCTTGGCAAGCGCCGCTGATCTTCTGCAGAATCCTTTGACACCGGCACTCACGGATTCCGACATAGGACGGCCCTGACGGCTCAGGCAATGGCCTGGGGAGTTGTCGCATGTTCTGCTGGAGGAGCGTCGGCCCGCAAGCTTGGCAGGCTCGCCTCTGGGTCGGACGACCCGGAAGGTCTGGGTGATGACGAAGTCGCTTTGGTGCCCCACAATCTTCCCAACCTCGGCACTGCTCACGCTCACAGGGTTCGCAGACGGAGCTTCCATGTCTGGGAAAGGCACAAGCTCAGCAGCGACCTGCGTGGCTTCTCCTCAGTCGACGCTTCGAGATGTCATGCTCTTGACACGACCTTCGCACCTTCGCCCCCGGCCTTGGGACGCAGCCGTCCCACATGCATATGCATGGCGGCTGCGGGTGATGGAAGGCTGCAGAATGCTTGGAAGATGCTTGCAGTTTGAATCTCAGCGAGACCTCTTAGCGGTGAGCTGCGTGCCGAGTATTTCGTGGCTGCGGTAACTGCCCAAGGTCAGCCTGAGCCTTACAGCGGGTGTCCTGCGCTGAGTCGTGAAGATCACCAGAAAATACCGCAGGCGAATTCCAAGCGCCTCGGCCAAGAGGAGCAAGCCGGCTTGCACCTCGAAAGAGCACCGACGGCCAGTGTAGGGTCTCAGTGGGCTCCTAAGCGCCATTTGGCGCCCTTCATGAACCCTACCCAGCATCCACGAACTGCCGCAGGGCCTCGACAGAGATGTCTGCGGGTTGTGGATGAAGATTGCGCAAAGCGACACCTGGATGTGGAAAAACTGTCAGATGCAGTCCCCATTTGAGTAGGACGGAGAGAGACACAACTTATTTAGTCGCAACCTCTTTCGGACATCGCCACTGCCGGCACTGCAAGTCACTGGCACCAGGTTGCGGACATGTTCTTGCCAAATCCTCAACAGCTGCATCATCACGATGCCTTGGGCATGCCCGTCTTTGAGCAGGTCTACTTTGCGCAGTGATGAGAGCCATTTCATCTACAAAGATTGAGAGAAGCGATGCCAAGAAAGCTGCTGTCCCCCAAAGGGCTGAGAGGCCGGCTGCAGCAGCAACGCCATGTGCGTCAAACTCCTCTGTAAATATTCTCCTTGCCTCAGAAGCTGATGAATGCAGCAGAAGCTCACGTACCAACCAGTGTTGCAGCTAGTTCCTGGTCTGTGCAGACGCTGCAAAACCGTCAAGACCAGGTGGATAAAGAAGCCCGGCCCCGCCTGAAACGCGGGTTCTCAAACGCTTCCAGGAGCACAGCCACATCCGGCAGCTGAAACTGCGGCAACCTGCAAGGAAAGTTCGCTTGAATACGCTTCAATCACAAAAACGAGCTTCTGTAGGGCTATCGGCTCTCCATTAAGCACAGCTGCACGGCACCGATGCTTTCGACGGCTCCCGATCCTGACGGCCCGGCCTTCGGTGCAGTCTTCCAAGATAAGTTGTCAACAGATTCTGGTCGAACCAATCTGCACCTTTGACGGCCAAGCTTCGGATCCAGTCTCTTCACGCTGCGATGTAGCCAAACAAGGAAAGCTGCTGAGGCAGGCACGAGCAAAAGCTCGGAAGATGTAGCAAAGGTCAGGCTGCAGAGCGGGCCGGTTGCAAATCAAGAACACCGACCGCTGCAAACATCAGAAGGAACATGTCGTTAATTCATGTGCTGCTCCGCAACACTCTCTGATATTGCCTGTGTGCAACATTGAGGGATGATTGTGTTCATGAGCCCATGTCGGAATCAGGATCACATTGCCTTGGAAAGGGTTGCTTGGTAGATAAATCGGTAATGTTGATTCGGTTTGTTGCTTTAGCCTACTTGACCGCGATCGTCATGAGCACCATCGAACATGCACCTTTACATCCAGGACAAGCAAGATGAGCAAGAGCCGCTCCAAGCTTCAAAACTGCAGAGACATGGCCAAAAACTCACCCACTCGGTCAAAGGAAAACCCCTGCCACACCTCCTCCGTACGAGTTGAAAGCTGCTGCGCACGCCAGGAAAACCTCGCGACACCAGACAGCGAGACGCCATGGCTGCCAACATCTGTGCCTCTGCACAGAAAATGAGAATCGGGCTTCAGCCACAGTTCGGGATCCCAAACATTCTCCTGCTTCTTCGTTTTCGAGCAACGACACGACTGCATGATGCTGCAAAGCACTCTTGTGTGCCGCCTGAACACATTTATCTGCCAGCACGGCGAGGGTGACCTGGGCGACATGACGAATTCCTCAAAACCTCTACCCGCACCTCGCCCCAGAAATGCGCAAAGTGCCAACCAGCTCCCGGCTGCCCCTTGAAACGCTGGCAGGTCCCACAGAGCATCAGACACCGAAGCGGCAATGACGAGTGCTGGGTGCACTGTTCGCACGCTCGCGACGTGCTCATCTGTCTTTGCAACCGTATATATTATGTGTAGCCTGTCCCTGGCAACTGTTGTTATGCCGTTGAAAAAAACTGGTCTCTCCGGAGGTGTGTGCTGGCTAGTGGACAAAACCACAAGCCAGTCATGTGCCAGAACTCACTGAGCTGCTCACCGCGTCCATCTGCTCTGTATACATGCTTCCACCTCTCATGCCAGCCTGGGGGTTGAGAAGCCATCAGTTTCCTCATGCATAGCTCGTGACAAGCAGCATTCTTGGTTCCTTGGTGACGTCTGGGAAACCGAAGAAGGTGGCAGGAGCCACTCGCCGCTCTCGCCACCACTCCTGACAATCTACGAGCAGATGAAGCTCTTCGGGGCATCTTCATGGCGTAGACACTTTCTGGAATATCGCGCGGCCTTCTGCGGCTGCACCCTGGACAGATCGAACCTGCCGAGCTTGCGAGGAAGGATGAAGTCAACATTCTGCCGTTCTTGATATTAGGGGTCGCTTTGCTGAGAGCTGGAGTCGTCTGGCCTTAGACTCTTGGACGTGATCTTTTCATGGAACTTTTCGTGAAAACGGCACCGGCCTGTCGGTCATTGGACGAGGAGTTCTGATCCGATAGTGCTGCTTGGACCATGTGCGCCTGTGGCAGACTGGCAAACACGAAAGCCTTCATGTCTCCCGTCATGTCTCAGCAGAAAGAGATGCACTGAGCTCCTCGATGGCGGAGTGTACCATCGCCGCTGCGGAAGGTGGTGAAGGCTGCGCAGGCTTTGGACTTCTCGAAACGCCATGCCCCTCACGTCATGGGGCCATGGCGAAGACTGGTGCGGTCAGGCAAGTACAAGTCTCGACGCATGTGTGCATGTCGACAGATCATCTACACCCCAGCGACCGGATTGCGGTGCGCCTAGGCTCAAGGGTATAAGTGTGAACTGAGCACGAGCTTGATTAAATACGAGGATGCAGACCGCAGATCCTGCAAACAAAACATGTCCGGTCTGCAGCCGGATGTCGATGCTACTCGTGCGAGGCATCAGGTGTTCTAACATAGGTTAGCAGAAAGAAACACATCTGTGGCAAAGTCTCCTGCAATGCTGATGTGGCAGCGGGCTGGAGGCATCGAGTGACGTCTCATACCACGTGGGAGCACAATCAACGACAAAACGTCTTCAACATACTCCATCAGAGAGACGAGCCACACAAGTACATGCCACAGATGATCCGCACATTGGCATTCCAGTGATATGTTCTAGCATCTTGGGCATGCTGGCAAGTATACAGATTCCTGTAATACGTCAAAGTTGAGAGGTTCACAAACAGTTCTTCTGCAGATACCTTTCAAGGACTGAATATGCAGCCGTGAGGAGGCATTGCCCGTCTTGGAATGTAAATCGTTTTGGCTGTCTGGCGTGTAGCTTGCAATGTCATCAGACGTACACATCACATACACATGCATAGATAACATGGACATGTACCTGTACATACACATGTGCACATACGTAAACATACATGTGTACAAAAAACACACCTGCACATGTGTATGTTTTTTTGTATATATGTGTATATGTGAATATGTACATATGCATATATGTATATGTGCACATGTATATATGTAGTATATATGTACATATATATATATATATGTATGGCATGTATGTATGTATGTATACATGTATGTATGTGTGCGCTGGTATGCATTTTCATGTTCGTATGCATATCTATGTGATCGTGCGTGTGTACATAGACGCATGCTTCCATAGACACACACAGACACACATACCCATCCATCCATGCATCCATATGTACAAACGTACACAGCTTTGTTCGCACATTCATACACACATACATACATATATACATACATACAGCGGCACACTGATGGATTCGGCCAAGAGTACGAGTGCAAGAGGAAAAAGAGAGGCATGTTGTTCATGTTGTAAAAGTTTGTCAGATTGTGGCAACCGTACAACTTGTTTGTATAATCTGGACACCACAGGGGGCCTGTCCTCAAACTAATCTTGGCACCACAGGGGGCTGCCGAAAATTGCGCAGGTACATGACTGAGCGTCCTCAATCACTTCCCTTCCAGTGACCTAGCTTCGTTGGATCAGGTCAGTCACTGGAAGCCTGATCCCCCTGCAACAGTTGATTTGGTAAATGTCCAATGTCTGATTAATGTTGAAAAGCAAAAATTGCAAACAGTGTAGGAGTGACCCTCTGCTCCCATGTGCTAGGGAGGTTCACACACACACAGCCCCAATGGGGCGTACATGCTTCAAGTAGAGTGAAAGGTCTGATGCGTGGCAAAAGGAGTGAATGGCGCACTTTTCTCGCTGTCACTAGCGATCGGGTGATTGTCGTATTTCCTGATCCGAACAGGTTCTAACAAAAAGCACCGGCTTCAACGTGGCTAATGTGGTGACTGAATCCCAATCATGTAGTCGTCGACGGTTTTGTTCGAAGAAGAAAGCTGGGATTTTAGGAGTTCTGCCGGTGATCTCCTTGATGCGGTAGGAGAAGATCTTGCGAGCTTGTAGAACGTTGTCACCCAGACAAAGCACCACGTGTAAGAGCATGTGCTTGTCTCTGGTGATGCGGTCGGGTGGAATTTCAACAGTCATCCGAAAACATTGTCCTGCCATGGAGTACCATGGAAGGCCGGCCTCGGCAGCCTTTCGCTTTGTCATATTTTTGCTGCTACCAACCGACAAAAGCTTGAACAAGGAATGCAAATCAACATGGACATGCTGTGTGCTCAGGCGAAACAACAAAGTGGTGTCGTCCTGACACTCGCATGCGCAGGCTTTTTGTCACGCTTAGCGGATCTTGCAGCCCTAATCCGTCCTGAGTATTAGGATCCAACAGCGAGTTTGTTGGGACAGTCACTCATGATCTTGAAATGGCATCTACACCTAAAACCTGCACGTACCAGCATTTTTGCACAAGCGGTTTTGGACCGCTTGTGCTGAATAGTAGGATGCACAATATCGTAAGGTGCAATCGAGTCAGAAGACCAAGGATCTCGCGATGGAGATCGGTGTGCGTCCTCAGCCATGTGTGACGTTGCCGTAGGTGACGCTGATGATGTTGAATGCGAAGAGCGTGTCCTCTTTCGTCTTGTAGTATGTGGATGTTGGCGTCGTTGCTGTGTTGTGGATTGGGATGCTGGTGAGATGTTGCGTGTTTTCTTTGTTTTCATGACTGTTTTGTCCTTTTTGTCTTTGTTGTCTTTCTTCTTTTTTGTCCTCGTTGTGTGCTTTGTTTTTTGCTTGTGTGTGTGACTGACTGCATGGGAGGATGTGGTGGTGTCATCCTTCCTCAGGAAGGCATCAATCTCTTCGGATCCCCATAGGCTGCTGTCGTCGTCCTCGTCCATCTGTGTGCGATCCTAAATATGTTTCAACAACTGTAGTTCGGAGAAATGGCTGCGGAGTCACAACTGCATTGAGGCATGTGCATACGCTGATCTTCAGAAGAGAGAGAGAGATGTACACAGAGACATCAATTGAGCAACCTCGCCGACCGGCATGACCTTTCAACATGATGCTCTTAATGTTGAACCTCATCAGGGATGATGGAGTTCGCAGCACAGCTTTGCTGTGTGGTTGTTGGCTGCCAGGGGCAGCAAATGTGCATCTAATTGTCAACTCAGCAATGTTGCTCACGGAGTTCTTGACCGCTTTCTCTTGTTGGATGTAGGAGTTGATGTAGTAGATACTGTCTCCTTTTGGGTCGGAGGCGTTGATGTCGGACGCTGATCAGGTTGCTCCGCATGCTTTCGTATCCACTCTTGAGATGCGATAAAGTACTCCCGCCACCATGAAGAGCCGTTAGTGGCCCAATGCCATCTCCATTGTGATGCCGTGGGAGATCGCGATCTGGTGCGTTGTTCCATGGTGCTAACACAACTGGTTGTTTTGCAAAATGCTGCGGGAAAGAGTGCATCAATCGCTGCATGCCAAACATATGTGAAGTGAGTGCACTGACTGTCACAATTGGCAACAACGACAATCGTTGTTTTTACCGTCCTCTGCAAAGCACCCGATGGTGGTATGAACATGGTTGATCACCTATTGTTGCGAAGCTTCGAGTCTTTCCACTCGTTGCTTTAGCTCTGTGATCTGCCGGGTTGTTTGCAGAATAAACTCAGCTAATTGGTCGCGTAGAGCCTCGTCACTGAATGTGGAAGGTTCACTTCCAGTTTCGGAATCATAGTCCCGATGCTGTGTCAAAATCTCCATGAGGGCCTCGGAGAGAGCTTCACGTCGTGACTCATCGACGGGTGGCGAATCTGTAGTCACTGTGTTGGTCGGAAGAGATGCTTCGCTCATGGCTCGATGTCGGGATTCCGATAGGTGTCACTCTGAGGCAAAACTTCAGAAGGCAAAGTTATGGTGTGTGTCTGAAAGCAACATGTGTTGAAATGCGAGAAATGTGCACTACCTGGCTCTTTTTATACCAGCGTACCTTATCAGCATATTCACGACCAATCAGGCGCGTTTTGCCTGATGAGGCTTTCGAGTACGTCGAGCTGCTGTTTGCACGAGGCGAGGATCGCCGTGGTAGCCTCGTGTTGAGTAGTCAACACCGTTGTAGCCTGTTGTATCAGGCGCTCGAGTTTGGCATTCGATTCAAGCAACGAATTGTGAAACTGCGTTATTGCTGCCATAATCTCAGTCGATGAATCCGGATCAGGATGATGCGGAGGTGGAAAAGGCGGGGTCGCCGGTGCAGCCACTGCTGCGTCCTGCTGTTCTTCCGGATCTTGGTGTTGCTCTTGGTAATCTTGGAAATCTTCGTCTTCTGCAACACGTAGGAACTGAGAGCGCAAAAGCGCCGGCTGTGGATTGTGGCTGCCAACCGCAGGTTGCTCGTTGCGGCGTCTGCTATGCTTGGAGATGGATGGCCGAGGACGGCCGCTCAGCGCTTTGTGGCTCGGCTGCAATCTGCCAGTCATGGCACTTTTATACATGATGATGCCTCAGTTAACACTGTAAATGGCTGCGGGAAGCACTGTGTTGATACAAGGCGGCTCTCATGTTGCAAAGTTGCATGACTCTGGACACACGCACGGCAACTTGGCACAGTGTTTTGCTTACAGCTGTTGATCAGTATAGCCGGCAGCGATGTAGAGATCGCGCATGGCTCGAATGGCTGATGTGGCCTCGCTGCATGGTGTTGTCACTCTGCGTACCATGCGTGTGCGGGCCTGAAAACTGCTGCGAAGTATTGCAACAGAGGTGGCTGACTGTGGGTGTAAAATATCCGCCTTGTGCAAAGTGCATTGATGCGTAAGGCTGCTGTGCTGAGGGTTTATGGCGAAACCCAGGAAAATGTTGGCCGGTTCAGTTTCAAGCTGAACCGGTGGTTTGTAGAAAGATGCGTCGGTAAGCTGTGCAAAAGGAGGCAGTCGGGTCAGCTGTGCAGGTAAAAGAAGGACGCGGTTGTCGACGTATCTGGTAGCAAAAAAGAAAGCTTGATCCTGCTTGTTGTGGTCTGGAAAATGCTTGTGGTTCTTGAAAAGTTGTTTGTATGTGTGGTGCCAACACTGTTCTTCGACGGCAACCACGATGTTGCATAGGGCTGGGCTGCAGGGCGAGCCCATAGGTGCACCGCGAAATTGCTCAATAAGTGATGTACCAACAGTGAAATAGTTGAGTCGGAGCACTGCAATGATGAGTTGTGGTATGTGTTGTAATTGTATGCAAAGTTTGTTGCCGGAGGAGGCTTCTTGCTGCTTTTGTCTGCTTTTGCCCCTGTGGACTCGATGTGTGGGGTCTTTCTGTGAGTG